GCCCAGCCCGCTCCCCCGAGAGATCCTGTCACACTGAAAGCAGATGACAGACGTGGACCAGGCCCACCACGCAGCAGCAAGTGCCAGCCAGATGCCAGAGTCCAACTCTGGGCGCCACCTTCCCCTGCCAGCAGAGAAGCGGCTCCCGTCTCTGACTGGGATATGCGTGGCAAAGACAAATCTAGGCAGTTTCAGCTCAAAAAGATCTGACATCAGCTGGAACCGTCCTTGTTGTTTTGAGCAGAGCTCACCTAAAAAGGAAACCCCTCTCTGTGTGCACACACACAACCGGCGTTAGTTCTGGCGGGCGTTGTGCGAATTCTGCTGTGGAGCCAGCACCTACTATGAGATGTGCAGTCCCTGCATCCGTTAAGCTTCTGCCACTTCATATTTTGGGAGCCCTCATAGCCACTGACTCGGACATCTGCCCAGCGCCACAGTGGGTGGTCAGTGAGCAGATGGAGTTGTTTCCCCCAGAGATGCTGTTTCCAGCCCTGGGCACCTCCGTGCACACCTGTAACCCTTTGAGGAGGAGACAGAGTTCTCCCAAGTGTCCATCAGCGTGATCCTGTGTCACACATCAAGTAGCTGCGTGAGGAGAGCGTTTATGCACATACCTTCCATGCAATGTCCCCTGTGTGGCTGTGTCTCCAGGCAGCCCTTACAGTCTCCCCCTCGTCATGTTGCTGGGGACACTTGAGGGCAGGTGCACCCCACACACGGGAGGGGAAACTGCAAACTCACAAGCAAGCGGCTGGATGGAGCTCGGGCTGTGTGTGGGCTGCATGGTACAGATGCGAGCCACCAACACCGCCTACCCACTCAGCACCAGGCCACCTTTCCTGGATCCCAGGCTCTGTTGAGGATGCACTGTTCGATCCTCCGACTCATCCTGGAGTTGACCTGGGATCACAGCTGCGTTACAGAGAAGGAACTCAGGCCCAGGATCCTCAGGCCCAGGACCCTGGCTTTCTGAGATCCGAGTCACCGCAGTGACCTCTTTGCACTCAGCTTGCCCTCCTGTGTCCCTGGGATTCCTTCTGCCACCTCCGTCTGGGCTGTGAGGACATTTACTGTGACTCGAAGTAGATGAATGTGCACAGGAACCCTTCTCTCCCATGTTAGACAGCTCGCAGCCTTTTCTCAATCTTTACTGGGGGAGGGGAGGGAAATGAATCCTGCTGGTCCAAGTGGTGGGAAATCTTAGCAGCCTGCTCCTGCAAACACGCCCTCGGCAGCCTGGTGCCCATCTGGTTTGACCTCCAAGTAGGATCCCATCTCTGTCCTCAGGGATCCCTCTTGGCCTTTGGGCTTGGTGGACACTGTTCACTGCAGGAAGTGTCCCCTTGCTGCTGCCCCTCTATCTGGGCCATCCCTGTCCCTTCCACTTCCCAGCTTTTTCTTTTTGCTCCCTGAGACCCCTGGGTGCACCAGCTGCTGCTGAGCCCTAGTGAAGTTGATGGATAAAGCTAAGCCAGCACAGTCACTGGAGGGCACAGGAATCTGCCCAGCACCGCAGGGGCCAGGGTCGAAGACCAGCAGCCCCCAAGTGCTGGGTTGTCAGGCGAATGGTGGTCCTTAGCCCTTCTGGCCACCATCCACCTCCTGGGTCCTCACGGTAGGAGGTGGAGAGCCGGGATCTCCCCGATCTGCTCCATCCACAGCTGCCCCAAAGCCTCCTGTGGTGACCATCATGCCAGCACTCACTCCCTTGTGCACGTGACCAGCCAGCCATGCTGTCCCCCACCTCTAGCCTGGGTCGGTGCTGTCTCTGTGTCTTCCACCCCAGTCTGCCTGACTCAGTCCTGGCCCAGCCCGACCACATTCCTGCCCCCCACCCTCAGTTCCATCCAAGCCATGCCCGTCCTCGGCATCTCCCACCACGGCACGGAATTGTAATAAGAGGGTGCCCTGTGGACCTCACCCGTGTTCGTGTCCTGATGGGAAGGCCTGGCAGAGACAGGACATCCCTCCCGTGGTAAATACACGCCAAACCAAAATCTTTAGTCAGCCCATCACATCAGTGATGATGTACAAGAAAGAAATGGAATGCCCGTGTGAGGGTGCGCCCTGCGTGTCTCGGGAGAGCCCGGCTGTGCGGAGAAGGGAGACGGAGTCACTGGCAGAGTTTCCAGTCCCATCTTGGCGCAGCGGTAGGGGCTGCTCCCAGCTTGGTGCAGGTGCCTGTGCCTGGCGGGACCTGAGTCGGGGTTTGAGTGTTCACTTCAGCATCGTTTGTGGAGCATAACACGGGACACAGGCACGTGTCCTCCAGATGGTTTATCTGTAAGATGAAGTCATTGCTGTGGATAGGCTACGTCCTGAAGTGCTCACAGGCGAGGGGTTCGAGACCTCACCATAGGTGGAGAGGCAAGGTAGCAAAGTGTGCAGTAGGACACCCTAAAAACTCCACACCCATGCAGAACAGACACAGATCCACTCAGGGACACCCCAAGGGGAGGAGGGAGCGGGTGGGCGGGGTCTTCTCGCTCACCCTGCGTGGTTCCTCTCCTTTGAACAGCGTGTGTGTTCACCAGGGCAGGTGTTCACAGGAGTCACTGCATTCTCCAGCCCGAGGCAGCTAGGGAGGCTCCTGCCTTAGATCTGCTCTGGAACGTGCCAGGCCTCCCTTGCTCCTCCACAGTGGAAGTCACCTCCCTGTTACAGCCCCGATGCCCTGCCTTGCTCTGAGTGGGATGAAATATAGTGTACAGTTTGTAAAATTATTACAGGAAAAGACACACTGCCACCCACCCCCAGTCCTCGCTGGCTTTGAACACGCTTCCCACCGCACTGCCCTTCTGCAGCTGCTCTGGAGTCCCCTTGCCTGAGTGTCTGGACTCGCGCTGTCCCGGCTGCCACGATGGCCTGAACTGATGCACAGCGTCCACCTTCTGTGGTCACTTTGACTTGGGAAGAGCCCGAAGTCACACAGTCCTGGCTCAGATGAGTGGGGTGGAGGAGGTTGTGGCGTGACGTTTTACGGACCTGCATTTCTGTGGGATGGCGCTTTGTAAAAGCAGCCTTCGCCATATTTTTTATCACACCTATAAAGATGCTCTCGAAGGAAGACGTGAAGAACTGCTTCAGAAAGTAACAAGAACGATGGGTCGGTGCGTTAAAGTGAGGGATCAGAGGCAGGGTGCACTGTACTGCGTGATTCTTAAACATTTAAACAGTGACCATAGACTGTGACGGTGTCTCATATACTAGAACATCCTTCTAGCCTAATTCAAATTAGTGCTTCTGATAATATTTATTGAGATTCTCATGTTTGACTGGTTTATTCTATAACTACTCCCAGTGACTTACACCGCTGTATTCTCCTGCTTTGGGTGTTGTAAATATTTCTGTCCCCTTGCCTTTAATTCTGTGAAGTTTGTGGTGAACTGTCCTATTCCTAAAGCCACCTGCTGTGCTTGGGGAACTGTCACCGCCGTGTGCACGAGCTGCTTTTCCACAGGTCACTAGCGCCCAAGGTCTTCATTTCTCCCCAGCAGTGAACTTGATGACATCACATTGCTTGTTTGAGGGTACCCGAAAGATTTGCACCGTGGACCTTGGCAATTGTCAGTCCAGTTGCTTGGTTCCCCGCCCCCCCCCCCCAGCTTGTGGTGAAGCACCACCACTTACCACAAGGGGGCATCACTGCTTTCTGAGCTGTGCAGGCCACAGAGCCCCCGTGGCTCCAAAGTGGTGCTGGTCTCTGGAGTAAAGGAGAACCCCATGGAGTCAGGCTGAGCCGCCCACGGCCGTGTATAAAGTGGGGATGAGGAAGCCTGTGCCCTGGGGGCCAGGGGAGCCTTCAGGGAAGCCGCAGGGCTGAGACACAGAAAACACAGGAGCCTGGGCAGATGCCATTTGCCGTCAATGGACAAGTTCTGGTCACTGGGCTGCCCATAGTCGCTTTATTTCCAGCTATCCCCGGAGGCCCTCACGGGCGGGGAGAGCACCCAGAGCCAGTGCCCAGGGGCTGGGGTGCATTTCCTTCCACTGTTGTTAGAAACACGCACGTGTCTTGGAATCAAGTAAGATCAATTTTCTCTCCCTGGAGCTCCCCAAGTGACAGCCCACTGAGCCGTTGTTCAGAGAGATTGACCTGGCCCAAGGGTGGCAGTGCTGCCCACCTCGGTGGCTGCAGGGATGCCGCCAGCGCTGTGCCCAGCTGCCCAGACTGCGCCGTCCTCTTCACATTTTCCTCCGCTCCCTGAGCTCAGCGGTGTACGCCATCCCATCGGTGCAACACAGAGGGACATACAGTGTGTGAACTCCTCCCTGAAGACTGCTGGTGGGCAGCGGAAGGGAAGAGAGCTGCCCTCCGTCACCTGTGACCTGGGAGGGGAGGAACCACCCTCGCTGCCTTCCCCGCAGCTGAGTTGCACATGGATTGTCCCCAGCCACGAAGTCCCACTTGGCATGGGAACTCGAGGCAGGCCCGGGGGCTGAGCGGTGGCTGCCAAGAAAACCACGTGCGCTGCTTTCTGTCCTGAGCTAAGCGGTGCATGCCGCACACCAGCGAACTGAGTGCGGTGTCAGAGCCCTGATACTCCTGGGAGAGGCACCGTGCCTCAGGTGCAGAGCTTGGCTCTGTCCCCGTCATCCTCGCTATCACTGCTGTGATAAAACTCTGCTAATGCAAGCTCCCCGTCCTAACCAGCCGCACGGAACTGTCAGGGGCCCCGGGTCCGACCGTTACCACTGTCCACCTCAGCCTGAGCTCCTGTGCCATGTCCGTCCTCCCAACGGCTTCTGGGTGGCTGTGCCACTGTTTCATGTGACCAGGCTGTTTCAGAGAGCTCTATCTCCTCGGTCACCTGGCCAAGTGGGTCTGTTGTCCCCAAACTGTGTACCCTCAGGGTGAGGCCTCACAAGCTAGGGTTCAGTATGGTGGCTACACCCCTTGTCAGTGTGGCCACTGTCCCTGTGGGGCTGTGACTGTGCAGAGAGTCTGGTTCTTGTCCCCACTGGTGGTTTTGTTCCTCTGTCCCGCTGTCGCCCAGGGGTGATCTTGCTGCTGCTGGACAAGCTACGCAAGATGAAGTGGGAACAGATGTGGAGACTGACAGCTGAGCGCGAGCTCATGGGCATGCTGTCCACGTCCCTGGCGGACCAGGTGAGTGACGGGCACTCGTGGGCACGCTGTCTACATCCCTGGTGGACCAGGTGAGTGGCCAGATCACAGGGCTGGCATTTCTGAACACCTGTGTCTGTCAGCGCATGGTGTGCTGTCACCACAGCAGACATGCAGGTGGCCGACTGTCTCAGGAAAAAGCTGAGCAGCTCATAGTTTCCAAGGTTTCCATCCATGGTCTTTGGACCCATTGCTTGGGGCAAGGCCACAGGCGGTGCCTATGGAGGAGAAAAACTGCTCCCCACCAGCCTGGGGATCAAACATGAGCAGGAGGAGGGGACCAGGGACCCCTAGAAACCCCACAGGAGGACCTGGGGGCCACGCCTTTACCACATTGGCCTTTGGGGACAGTCAAGATCCGAGCTGTGGCAGCCCCACTGCTGCTTCTCCAAGCCACCTAGAAGCAGGTGGACCTGAATTACTCTTCTACCCTGTGCAGCTCAGCGTGTCCGGCTGCACAGGCTTGTGGGGCGAAGACAGCAGCTTGTGCGTTAGTTCATCCTCTGCTTTGTTCACTTGCCCGCCCAGCAGGTTTCACCCAGTGCCATGGCTGCCAGGGCCCTGCTCAGAAGAGGGTGGTGGGGAGGTGAAGGACTTGGTTGTTGGCCCGAGAACACCAGGTCTGGAAGCGGATTCCTGAGCTGGGGCAGTCTGCTGAGTGAAGATGGGTGTGGAATCCATGAGCTCTGAGACCCCAACTCCATAGTTTGTGTCCTAGACAGACTTGCTCTGTCTCTTGGGCAAACAGAGCCTAGTGTGTCCCCAAGCCAATGCTGAGGGTCCTGCCCTGTGGACCCTGAGCTCAAGGAAACGCTTAGCTCCGGAAACAGGCTTTCATGCAGTCTATCTGCAAATGGACCTCCAAGGCCACAGGACTGACACTCATAAGACAGCCTGCATCTCACTTGGAGCAGCAGAGGGGGGCCCTGGTGGGACCCACCAGGCTATCTTGGATTTCGACCATTCTGTGGTCTTGGTGGCCATCGTGGGAGGCAGAGGTGGCCTCTCTGAGTGTTCTGCATGGCACACTGTCTTTTTCACCTGAAGAAGCAGCTGCCTGTCCACACTTTGTCTAACATTTGGCTGCGGGCTCATCGTGTTCCTAGAGAGTTTTCTAACGCAGAGGAAGCAAACCCACAGGGCTTCATACTATTGTTTAAGCATTTTTAAGTGTTTTCTGAGCAGCCAGAACTGATTTCTAAACAACTTGGGGCTGTGTAAGCAGTGAGTTAAACAGGACCCCAGGTTCTGTCTGAACCTGGAGGGCAGACCATCTACCGTCCTCATGTTTTAACTGGAGTCACAGTCACACAGGGCGTCCCCAAGCTGGCGTTTGTATGATCATGTTAGAGAAGGACAGTGTGGTCTGCACCTCCTGCTGCAGAGGCCCGGCCCCGGCCTCCCGTACCCAGCTGGCTGGTCAGCGTGGCCTGTGCAGCAGGGGGAGAAGAGCCCGGGAGGCCCCTGGACCAGGCTGAGGCCCGTTTTGGAGGAGCAGGCTGCACAGCCCGGAGCCCTGGGAAGGCAGGCAGGGGAGGGGGTGGCACCTGTCTTGGTCCCTGGTGAGCTGCAGTTTTCTCTTGGAGGCTTGGGAGGGACAGTGGGTCTCTGGACAGGATGGAAAGAGGGGAGGCAGGGACACTCTGTTTACCATGCGCCAGCACGCACAGGAAAGATGCAGGCTGTATGGACAGTACCAAGGGAGCCAGCAGCACAGTGTGCAGTGAGCAGGCCTGGGGCCAGCCGGGTCTCCCTCCTGTCAGGGTCTAATACCATGGCCAGGGCCTGGAGGGCAAGAGAGACCTGTGGCCATGGCATCAGCCCTGGGGCGCCCAGAGCCCAGTGCTCAGGTGACACCCCGGGGAGGGGCAGCCAGAGGGACAGGCCGAGCCCATGGTGACACCTTGGCTTTGTCCCCAGGATATATTCAACGCAGTCATCAAGCAGAACCCCTTCCTGGTGTACCAGCTCCCCTGCTTCTGGAACGTGCAGCTCTCCGACCACACCCGCTCCGAGCAGTGCTACCGGGACGTGTCGGACCTGAAGGTAGGCTCCGAACAGGCGGCTGGGACGGGAGAGGAGGAGGCCCAGGCTGGGACGGGGACTTGGATGGCTGTGAGCTGTGTGTGCGGTGTGCAGAGAGAGCGCAGCGACCGGAGGAGCAGAGAGAGTGTGACGTATCCCTCCGCTGGCTCGCAGCTGTTTGGTGCCCTGTGGAGCTTTCTGGAAAATCCCAGAGCAGGGGCCGCCTTGCGACGTTACTCTTCCCGCTGCCCAAATTCCTTCGTTTAGTCCAGCGAGCGCATTGGTCAGAGCTGGGTGCTGTGAATGTGGACACGAGGAACTTTACTTCCAAGTCAGTCATCACTTAGAGGAAGAGAAACGGCAAGGAGAGAGGCGTGGGAGGGCAGAGATAGCAGAGGCCCCGCACACATCCCATCCTCCCTCCCTGAGAAGGGACGGTGGCCTGCCCCAGTGTCAGTGATGTGTCCACGCTTTGGCTGGGCAGTGCTGGTTTTCCTTGGTCTAACCCAGCATCCCTGGTTGGCTGGAGTTTGGGTGGTAGCATCTGGGCAGCTCTGCTGTCCACTGCGGTCCCTGGGGGCTTCCGCAGGCCAGGCTGAAGCACGGGAGGAAGCCTCGTGTCGGCACTGCTGACCTCCCACTGCCCCAGAGAATTCTGTGGTTGCGGTTAGGGTTAGGGTTCCTCATCCAGGGTCGGAATTCCAGAGCAACAGGAGGAGTGGAGCACTGGCCACACTGCTGGACAGCTGGACAAGGAGCTGGCACTGTCCTATCCAAGGCCAGGCACCTTTGCCTCTCTGGCTGTGTCGGTTGTCAGGCATGGACACACGCATCCCAGAGAGCTCATTTCCTTACAAATGTGTGTGCACTGCTCATGTGGCTCGGCCTTGACTGGCACCAAACCTTGGCTTCCAGAAGTCAGTCCCGTCCAGTTGACTTCTGGTCCACGCCCGCCATGCCTGTGGTGTCTTACTTGCCTCATAATGAATTTGCTCCTGCGTTCTGTCTGTTCTGTAGTATTTCTGGGTCCCTACCTGGTGCTGACACCCACCATCTCCACTGGTTACATAACAGTCCGTCTCGCAGCCCTGGAGCCCTGAGTGAACCTTGGCGGCTCTCACCTGTTCGCACATACAGACTGCGTGCTGAGGTTCTAATCTGTCCAGGAACAGCTTTCTGTCTTGCCAAATCTTTTGCCTTTCCCAGGAGTGAGATCACAGAGCCAAAAAGAAAGATTTTTTTCTACTACACTTGAAATTTGCTGTGAAATTGTGCAGTGTTCAGAACAAAAACATTCAAACTGTTCTTTCTTCCAACATAGTGCAGTCCTTTGTATGTGTCATGTACCTGTCACCTGGACAGGACAGCTGGAGCAGGCGGCGGTGTTCCTAAAACACTGGACGGAGTAGTTCAGAGGGGAGAAGACAAAACCAGCACTGGAAAGGACACCTGTAAATGCTACATAAACACTTCCTTGGGATGTTTAAGAGCATAATCAAGGGCCAGGGATTTAGCTCCACAGCGTAAGCACCTGCCTGGCAAGTACAAGGTCATGAGTTTGATCCCTGGTACCAAAAAGTTTTTTTAAATTTAAAAATAAAAAAATAAAAGCGTAATCGATCAGTCCATAAAGTAAATAAAGAAAGCAGAGGCGGGAAACAGCAACAGACTGTGAATCCAGCCGGGTGAGCTGCAGGCTGCTGGCTAAGGCGCTCATGTGCGGAGGGTGGTGGGCTAACTCCACGGCCTGAAAGGAGGTGCGGGTTAGGAGAGGCGCAGGCAGCCTGTCTCCGCTTCTGGCTTACTGGAAAATAAAGCAGAATGCAAGGAGAGAAATGCGTAAGGAAGTGGGAGAAGTAGAAAGCGGGAAGACCGGATAAACATGAATTAATCTTGGTGAGGAAATGTGCGGAGAGACAGAGCCTTCCCGGAACACGGGTGTTTGCAAGAAACATTGCAAACTCGTAAGAGCCTGAAAGGCTGACAGTAAAATTATGGAAAGTAATTATCAGAGAAACATTCAAAAGCACACTGGGATAATGGTATAGATGTTGCCAGGGAGAGAGATGATCGTAGCTGAAAAGGGAAAAGCTTATCGGGAGCACAGAAGAACTCTCCTCACTGCAGACTCAGTCTGGCACAAGTGCCTGTCGGTGTGTGTGGAGCGCTGGAACCCTGGGGAGAAAGGACGGGTCTGCCGTCACGTACAGAACCCCTGAACCACGCCCTTGACAAATACTCGAAGACCAGCAGCAGAGTGAGGAGAATACGGGAGATTCAGGCTGAACACGCTTGATTTACCGCGCCAAGGCCTTTGACAACTAGAGAACACGCCCCCCGCTCCAGCTCACATCCCACTTTATAAAGACACAGCCATGCACCAGACATAAAACAGGTCTCCGTTCATGTTTGGAGAATACGACTTCATAGTTCTCTGAATGAAATACAGTCAAATTACGAAGCTCCGAGACAAAAGGCATCTGTTGAACTAAAATGGAGAATCCACTTCCAAATTCTGCATGGCTCTTAACAGAAATCATAATTGAAAACGACTTAGAGACTAAATGAATATAAAAATAATGCGTGTCAAAATTAGTATAATGAATAAACATGCAGGAAAATTAGAACCTTAAATGTTTGCATTAAAAAGAAAAAAGGCTGAAAATTAACATGCCAGGTTTGCAGCTGACACTGATCCATATACAGCATAGAATAAATTCAAAGGAAGTAAGAGACAGGACAGAAAGGACAGCGGGAATTCATTAACAAATTACTCGGTAAAGGCGAAGTTAGTTCTTAAAAAGAGACCAATAAAACCAGCAAAGCTGTGACGGGCAGGAGAGCGCGGGCTCAGGAAGACGCCTGTGAGGCAGAGGCCCTGTCACTCCGGGTCCTCCTGGGCGGGCGCTTCCTCAGCGCTCTGGACACAGCGGAGACCTGGCCTCGGTTCCCGACCTTCCCCCCACTGAACGAAATGGATTGAGAAGGTAACCGAAGACTGCAGACGGCATTATGTCAGGAAACTTGAAAACTCATTCAAAACAGACCAACTTCTGGAATGCTAAATTTACCAAAACTGATTTTAAAAGAAAATGTAACGTTTACATCATCTTTTAGTCATTAAAGCTTCTTCTAGAAAACACAGTGCTACCAGCTATGGAGAACAAATGCGTTCTACCAATTTTTGCACTTGATAGATATTTGTAAGCTTAAAGTTTCCAGAGCACAGCAAAAGAGTGATGCTTTTACCTCTTTTCTTCAGCAAGCAGGAGATCCCTGATACAAAATTACAAAAGGAAAATTACAGGCCATTTACAATATGGATGTAAAAATCTGAAGCAAAATATTAGCCAACCAAGTGCAGCCATGCAGAAAAGAGCGCACAGTGGCCAAGTTGGGTCCCTTCCAGGAGAGCCAAGGGCGACGTAACGCGGGGGAAACCCCGGTGTGGCGCGGAACACGTTAGTAGATTAGGCGAGAAACACCATGTGATCCCGAAATAGGTGGGGGAAGTTCATTCACGTTTCCCTTTCACACGCGGGGACCACTGAAACTCCCCAGCAGGCACCCGCAGATCGTGAGCTGAGGGTTGCTGAGGAATTGGATACGGGCTGATTGCAGCAAGAAAAGCCTCACGGCCACCAGTGTTTGATGAGCGAGGAAGTGGTATCTGCCGATCGTTGCAGAAAAGACTTAATTTTCCATAAGTGGTACCAAGACACCAGTTACCCCCCTGGGGGAAAAAGGTGACACAGATCCCTCCTCACACCATGCGAGTAGTTCATCCCAAGTGGATTAGAAACTTGAAAGCATGAGGCCAAATTAAAGGTTTGGTTTTAAAGTGCGGGGCAGGGAGGACTAGTGCTGAGGCCTCAGATCGGAAAGAAGTCACTCGTCCAGACCCACGTGGGGCCAGCTGATAGTCGCAGCAAGAACCTTGACGAATGGTACCTTGGCGTGCTCTGCGTGTCTGTGGGCCAGCGGCGCAGGTCTGCCCGCGGAGTGCCGTGCTGCCCAGCCCGACTGCCTTCATCAGTCTTAGTGAGGATGCAGGGTATCAGGGTACCAGGAATTGAATTCAGGACCTCATGCTTGCCAGGCAGGCGCTTTGCCGCTGAGCTACACTCCTGGCTTGGATGTGAGGACTCATACACCCTTCCGTCCCGTCACCTTCTGCCTCGCCTGCACCTAATGGAAGGCAGATTTGTTTTAGGGACTTATTTTCACTGAGTTGTTACCAAGCACTCTGCCTGCCTCTCGTGCAAATAACAGCTCTCTGTTAGCACATACATATCATTAATTCAATTAATGTTTAATTAGATTTCCAATTACACTGGAATCACAGATATAAAAACACCTTTCGAAAGCACACAGCTCTGTGCATCGCGCTGACCTCCTCCCGTGTGCAGCTAGGGACCTAGGGCGTCTCGCCTGCCAGGCTGTCTGCAGACATGGGGTGCAGGGCTGGGAAAGGGACTTCTGGGACATGTCTTCAAGGGAGGAGTGAGGAAGCACACAGATGGAGCGAGTCTGCGTTCCGATGGCAGCTGAGGGGCTGCCCACCGCCCAGCTCAGGTGTTTGCTCCATGAAATGAAGGCATCTTTCTTGGCCATCCTGGTCCCAGCCATCCTCAGCCAGGCCCATCCAGTGCTCACAGGAATGCGCAGTCGCCCGCTCAGTCTTGTGTGTTTCAGAGACCTTTGCTTATATCTCTGCTGCAGCCTGAAGGCTGGATGACTCCTGCCTTCTCTAGCAGAGTCGTAAATTCCAGGAGAAGGGGGCCCAAGGGAGCTCAGACTCTTCAGAGCTGGTGCAGGCACCCATGGATCATTGCACAAGGAAACTCCGGCAGGGAGATGAAGGAAAAGCCAGGTGCGGGGTGGGAGCTGGAGGATGTGCCTGGCCTCTGTCTCTGTGTCCTGGGTTCTGTTCCCATTTCTTTCTCTTCCGGCCCGAATCTGTAGCAAGGGGAGAAGACCAGCTATGTGGGGAGACTGGAACACGAAAAGGGGTTATGAAG